CCGCCACATAGTAAATATATAATAATAAAGAAAAATATACAAGAAAATAAAAATGTGCAATAAATAAATTAATGCAAATAAATAAATAAAAATAAAAACCCAAAAGAGACCTAAAACCTAGGGTTAAGGAGAGTCGCCAGCAGAGTCGCCAGCTGTAGCAACTGGTTTTTAATCAGAGCCGCCACTATTAGTTTTTATCCTAAGGAAGGAGAATCTAACGGAAAACCCTAATTTGCAGAGATTCCAAGTTTCAGACTCAATTAGACGAAAGGAAGGTGTTAGGCACCTTTCATCCACCTTGTTAACAAGGATATTAGGTTCTAGGTTTAGGTTTGGGGTAAACAGGATTTTAAGTTTTAATTAGAAAGACTCGCCACGATTTTTGATCATATGCCTACGTATCCTCTTATGAGGAATCGGAGTCCTAATTCGTAGTTCGTATGGGGTTGGTATTTTTTAGGGGTTTGCAAACGTATTTTGAATCACCTCGCACTTGGCCGGGAATAGTGATTGTGGAGATTTTGACTGAATGCGCAGTAAGTCAAAACTAGTTTGAAACCCTTTTGCAAAAACAGTTGGTTAGCTTAGTTTATTACGAAAAATAGTTTGATGCTTTGTTTGTGTTTTTATCGTATTAATTGCGAAGATCTTGATTAATGCATGGTTAGAAAAAAATTTAATGCAAATAATATATAAAATAATATATGCAATTTTAACATAAAAATGATTTATTTGATCATATAATAATATTTAGATAGTGAATAAAATATAAGAATAGCAAATAGAAAATAAATATTGATAATAATAATAATAGCAAATATACTAATTATGATATAATAATAATAAAAAATCAATATTTGATAATAATAATAATAATAATAATTGTAAATAAATAATATATATGTATATTTATAAAAAAATTAGAAATAATAATTGAATTATAAAATAAAATAAATAAATTAAATAAAAGTGGGTGCAATTTCTAACTAACAAGTAAAACACGAGGTGTTATAATTAGGACTTTGGTTGGGCCCAAGATACAGTTCAGACAGGGGGTGCAAGTTGTTTTACGTTTAGCAATTCGCAGTAAAGGGGGGGGTGCAAAGCAGTGGGCTTAGGCCCATTACGTGAATTGGAGGGGGTCTGGTTGGTTAGGTGTGTGAGGGAGCACGACCTTTACCGTGAAACTTGGTCTAGCATCTGTTTGATCATTATCAAATGGATGATGATGGGGGAGTATGGTAACTAAGGTGTACGCGCGCGCAGGGAATACTTACGAAACATAACATTTTGTCTTGTTCATTTCTATTGTTCATTTCATATTTACAGCAAATTATTCCCTCTTTCTCGCCTCAGTCCCTTCCTCTCTTTCTCTAAACCCCAACCCTTCTTCCTCATTCACTCTTACAAACCCTAGCCGAAACCCTCACTTCTCGCGGCGGCACAACAAAAACTCCCACCCAGAACCCCTTAATTGTAACCCCCAAATACAAAAACAACAAAAAAGCAAGCTATGTCTATTTACCCCTTTAGCGATTGTCTTGTTCTGCTTCTTGAGTTTCATCCGATTTGGGCGCTAACTCTTCTTCTTCTTCGCTTTTTTTGCAGGTTAGCAAAGGTGTAGAATGAAGGTGATGATGAATGGTTCCACGGCGGAGGACTGAGCTATCAGCGGCGGGGATGATTAGTGCTGGCGACGGGGTTAGCAACGGAGATTGTGGTTTCAGATAATGAAACCCCAATCGTCCTCCTCTTCTTCAACCAACTTAGTTTGTTCTTCGAGTTCGCCGCTTCCTTCAATTCTTCTCAGTTCTTCCCCTTTCTGTTCTTGTTCTTTCGTCCTCCCTTGTATATTTTTTTAGTTTGGTATTTATAGAGTTGTAATTAGGGTTTTGTTTTTTAAGCAATCACTGTTAAAAATAGAATGATCAGTAGAATTAGGGATCTAAATTAATATTAATTGATTTATGTATATTGTAATTGATTTTGAGTTCACAGTGTGTATTTGATTCTGGAATTTAATTTCTGAGATTAGATTCGATTTAGTATAATCTGAATAGTAGGTGTGAGTAGCCCAAAACCCTAGCGCTAATTTTGCTCAAATTGGAACAATGCACGTTTTTTTTGTTAATTTGGATAGTTGTTGTTCTTTGATTTTGGGTCAGCATAGCTGTTGTTAGCAAACATGGGCCTGCGTTAATAATTTTGTTCAGCCCATCCTACGTTTTTTTTTTGTAGAGCAAGGAGACAATTCAATTGGGCTTCACGTGGTTTGAATTGAGTTGGGCCCGTCTCTGTTTTTTATCCATCATCATTAAAATTGTTACAGCAAAAAAACGTTTTTTATCAACACTAGGCCCAAATGGCCCCCTCTTTCTGTAACTCAACTATTTTTAAACAAAACCTTAATAAGCAAATAGATTTTATAAAATAAAATCTTTTAACAAACAATATAAATAATTTTTACTATAAATCTCTTAGTAAAACATTATTGTAAGATGGATCAGTTTAATCCATACTACAATAACGTCACCTTTAGTATATACCTTTTTAGTAAAATGATGATGATAAAAAAAATAATACTTTTTTCCAGAAAACGTCAGATGGACCAATCCAGACTTCAACGGGCCTGATCTTATAACCATACCCCCTTTCTTTGCTATCTAACAACACAAATAGAAATGGGCTAAATAAATCTCCTAAAGCAAAACAATAAATGGGCTGCTAAAAACACAACAGGCCTACCATTCATAATTGCACCTCCTTTTCTTTTTACTAACAATAATAAAACCTAAATGGGCTTATGTACTATATTTAATTTTCCCCTCTCTTTTACTAATAACAACTATTAAATAAATAAGAGCTTAATAATTATTCGAATAATTTTTATTTCTAAATTGCATGGGTCATTGGCTCACATGCCTTGCGACTGGATTTATGAGTCTTTCCGATTTAGAAAGCCTCATTTCCCCGGATTAATATGCATCTCCTGATTGACTTAAATTTTAAGAATGGGTCATCGGATATTGTTGTACCATCCTTAATTAAATGTTTCTTTATAATTTTAATCTCGAAAATAAAATCATCGAGGTAGGACAAATTTGGGGTACGATACATTTGATTTGATTTTTTTACGAAAGATTTAATCTATACGATATCTGTTTCTTTTGGGTTTACTTACTGAAGAATATGGTGTTGCGACTGTATCTTGAGAATTAGGGTTTCAAAGACCCTTGTTGACTTGGTCAACATTAATCAAAATTGTTACAAACACTAGGTTCAACCCTATGCTCAACATCTCAACCACAATGGACATTTTCAACCATTCTCTTGTGTAAATAACCCCATTCTTCAATTTGTTAATTTTCTTCTTTTGTCTTTCAAGCTTCAAGTCCCTTTCATCAACCAACTCATCACCTAACCACTTGAAGAAATTGCAACTCTTATTTATGTGATTTATGTAATTTCTACAATCCCATTATTTTCTCCCATAGTTGGCACTGTTCACATCGTTAACGGTTCGAAGAACACTTTCATCTTGACAAAAACACTTCATTTTCTTGTTCCTACGAATCACAGATCTAAATGTACTATAGCTTTGACTGTTTGACATTGAAGCATTGCTTGCCATCTTTGATATTAAACCATAATTTGGAAGATTGAAGAAATAGGGAAATACTGAAGAAAGAAAAAATCGATGGTGGAAGAAAGAAAATAATTGAATATGGAAGAAATAAGAAATTGGAAGATGGAGACAAGTCACGAATCCTAAAAAGGTTATAACACATAATATGAACGATATTTACTTACTTAGCATGCCACGTTATTTAATTAGGTAATGTTTTTTGTTCAGGAACCAAAACAAAACTTATGGGAACCAATTTTACCAAAACCAATTTTACCAAATATTAAATAATCTTAATCCATAGAATCCCACTTATGGGAACCAATTTTACCAAAACCAATTTTACCAAATATTAAATAATCTTAATCCATAGAATCCCACTCACAAGACTATGTATTTTGGTAGGTTACCTACACGCAAGATTGTTTTTGGTCTGATCCGGTTCAGATATTTGCTCTTCCGAAAATTGATCAGAAATAATAATCCCACTCACAAGACTATGTATTTTGGTAGGTTACCTACACGTAGGATTGTTTTTGGTCGGGTCCGGTTCAGATATTTGCTCTTTCGAAAATTGAACAGAAATAATAATCAGGTAAAATGAGACCGGATCGAAATAATAATAGACTGAAAGCGCGGACGATACTTTCTAATATTTATCAGATACTTGGTCTACTTGGTCTAAACTAGACTGAAATTTATTTAGCCTAAAATTTAAATAAAAGAATATAAAAAATTACTCATTCATTAAACTAGTCCTATTGATCCAATTCTCATTCCGGATTTCAGATAATGAGGCTCAAATACAGCCCCACCTACACCCATAAAAATGTTGTAATAATTAAAGCATTATATTCATACAAAAGGCCCTGCGAGATTGAAATGATTTTAATTTTATATTAATCCTCCAATGATTTATCCAACAATTTCATTTGCGCATGCAATTAAAGAACCAACATAAAATCTTTCAACTAAAGTACCAAACGATAACCAATATAGAAAGAAAAAAAAGTTTAAAATACAATAATTCAAGTCAGAGTTTAGAAATATAGAGACAAAATTTCTTTAATATATAACTTTCTTACAATAAAATAATATTTCTCATGTAACACCAAAATTTCTTAATATATACTATATATTGAATTATATACTTATAAACTCTAATACCAGAAATTACTTCCTCTGATTTTTCTTTACTCACAACTTCACTCTTCATGCATTTACTAATTACAACTTATCTTCACACAAACTAGTACCACAAAACCACAAACTCTAACAAGGGCATTTTCGGGATTACACAACCAGCACCAAAAAGTATAATTACCAAACAGTCCCTGTTCTATTTCAATTGACAAATAAGCCCCGGAGATTTTTACTATGGCCACGTCATAAACTCGTCAAGATCAAACTCTTCAAACGACTCTTCTTTTTCCAACTTCGGATGACACGTCAGCGAACCGTTAACTTCCGGCAAACTTAACGGCGCGTCAATGTGGAACCCAAAAGCGTCCACGTCTCCGTAACGATAACAGTCAAACGGCGTCGAATCACAGTCGTAGGTTAAAACAGACGTTGGCGAAGCCAAAGCGTCGGAGTAACCAGCTCCGCCGTCATCTCTGCCATTCACCGGCGATGGTACTTCAGTTTCCAATTCCACCTTCGCCGGTAAAATAGGAAAGTTGGTGACGGCGTCAGGACCTCTCAGCATCACAGCAACTCTGTCGTACTCGGCGGCGGCTTCTTCGGCGGAGTTAAACGTTCCAAGCCAGAGACGTTTCCGTTGGGCCGGGTCTCGGATCTCAGCGGCCCACTTTCCCCATGGCCGTTGTCTTACTCCACGGAACTTGTTGCGGTGGCGCGTGACAGACAAGGTTGGTGCTTTCTTAACTCTATTGTACTTTTTGTGGTTTTTCTCTGAGCATGCAAGAGAAGATGAAGATGATGAAAGAGAAGAGAACGAGAAAGAAGAATCTAATACGGGATGGTGCATGTTGATTTCAAGGACTTCTCTTTTTGGTTTTCTTCGTGTTGTTCTTTGGTTGTTTTTCTCTGTCACTTCATCGCCTGAGGAATCGGAATCGGTGGCGTCGTGGTCTGTGATTATGATTCGGAGAAGTTTTCTTTTGGGTTTCCTCGTTGTTTTGATTGATGGGTCATCCTCAAAAATGGAACTTGGTGTTTCAGGCTTCAGCCTGTGTAGAGACATGGTGGAGAGAGAAAAGAGGAAAACAGGGGTTTTTGTTTAAGGTTTTTGTTTGACAATTTTGTGAGTATTAAGGTAAATTGAGTGAAGTGAGAGAGTGAAGAGGAAGAACGAAGAGGAAAGTGTTTGTTTGCATGAAGGAGTTAAAGAGGAAGAAGATGCTTAAAAGTGAAGATTTAAGAGGAGGTGTAGATAGCAATATTTTGGTTTTGCGGGAGGTGTAGATAGCACTATTTTGGTTTTGAGGAGGTGTAGAAAGAAATTTATTGGGGAGGAGATGCTTAGAAATGGAAGGTTGAGGGGGTAAAGAGTGGATCTAGTGGGGAAGGAGATTTTGTGAAGGAATCAAGAGGTTTGGGGATTTTGTAGTGGTGAAATGAAGCAAAAGAAATGAAAACTTTTGCTTTTGGTGTGAAGATATATATTCCAAAAAGAGAGAGAGAGAGAGATAGAATATTGGAAACTTTGGATACTATAAAATCTTAGTGTGATATTTTCACACGGGGTGAGCGTGAGTGAGAGAAAGGGATTTGGCGGGAAAGGAGAGAGAGTGGGAGAGGAATGTTAGAGAAGAAAACGAGATAAAAGAGTGAAGAGTAAAGGGTATTTATAGTGCACGGGATTTGTCCCTATTGTGTGATTCATTTGATAAAATAAATGTTTTGTTAGAAGAGAATGGAAAAATAAATGGGGTGTGAATGGGAGTGGAGGGAAGGGTAGTGAGTTGTCACTTATGAGTGTGTATGTGTCGTTGTCGGGAGGGTAGAGGAATTTTATGTTGTGGGTTTGTAGCTGCTCCATGTTGACGTGTCTTAACCCATGTTTTCCCCGTCATCTTCATTCAACTACAATCCCACTCTTGTGTGTATGAACACTCCACTCCCATTTTATTTCATTCGTCCCTCTTTTACTTTACACCAAAATTCATTAACTATATCATCATCTTCTTTGAAATGGTATTTAATTTTCTAGTGTAAATTATAAATGTCTTTAAAGAAATAAAAACAGGTAGTTGCATTTATTGGAGTTTCAATGGTGTTTACATGTTTCATATTTGAAAAATTGTGTATATTTTGGTCTTTTTTTCATAAAAATGTCTCACATTTACAAACTCATGTTTAAGAGACTTTGTATATTCTGGTCTTTCTCCATAAAGCATATTATCTTTACATATCTCTTATGCTTGACCAATTGTGTATGTTTCTAATAAGTTGTGTCAAACCAAAATCAGAATTCAACAGAATCCATCCCAATTTCAAACCATGACATAGAATAAAATTGAGTTAGTGTAATTTAATGGGCCAAGCAAAGCAGGTCATCTTAAAGCTAACATAAATTGTTCTCGACTGAAATAGAGAGATTATTTAAGACATATTAATGGTCATAAGCGATCGGCCTCAGACATATAAGTATAGGACTTGATTTTCACTAATCACCTTGGTGTAGATATTTTCACTAATCGCCCTGGTGTAGATAAGGAGACATGAATCATAATGACAAATAAATTGGTCATTAAGAACTCAGAGCATTCAAGACTTTATATAAACTAGCAACCATCACATTGAATGAACGTAATTTTTTATATAATAAGCATTTATATATGCGGCTCTTACTCACTCAGGATCGATAAAGATATTAATTAATGTATGCAGCATGTATAGAGAGAAAGAGAGAAGATAGTTTTTAAAAGATAAAAGAATTAGGTGAGAAGAATTAAAGGATTTATGTGAAGAGGGTTTTGAGAGGTTTATTTTCCTTCAGCGAGAGAATTAAGTCAGCGTATCCTCTATATGCTAAACTGGACCTGTTCTGGACTGGGCCCGACTGGCCCAATAGCATTGATAAGGCCCAATCCAAACGGACTTGCTGGGGGTCACGCCGACCAAAGGATCACAGTCGTGCCCGACGTACTCTCTGGGGCTACTTGCTCGACCTCCTACTGTCCAACTCGACCTCAGCTCGAGCACCCCTCCTAGGGCAGACTCAGTCCACTGCACCCTCACCTGGGTCCCGAAAAGACCGCGTCCTCGTCCGCCCGCACTTCACACAGCACATCTAGGAAGGAGACCACGTGCGGATCTCCACTACACACGTAGAACCTGGCAGTTCCTTCATTGGGCCAAACCTGCCCGGCCCAATGAAGGGACCTTGGCCCAGCGCTGGGGGCTATAAATACCCTCTGTTCCCAGAGGATCAGGTATTCATCATTCTACCCATACTCTTACTATTGCCTGTTCGTGCTCTTACTCACTTCAGCATCGGAGTGTCTTGCAGGTACCCCCTCCACCTCGTTCAAAACTTCAGCTCGGAGCCAGCCGTGACGGTCCAAGTCTGATCAGGTCAGATCAGGACCTAAGGATTTAAGAAATTTGAGTCACATCACCATCAAACGTGTAAGGGATTGTCACCATGAAATCATCTTTTAGTTGGCACATCTTGGCGACAAGGTCTTGTCGACATCTTTTAGTTGGTCCGTCTTGGCGACGAGGTCTTGTCGACTAAAACCTCAATAAACCCCTAGTTATAAGGGATATCCATAAAGTTTTTAGTTCTCCTATAGTCTTATTTTATCTCTATGTTGCACTTCTCTAACTCCACTATCTTGTAAACTTCTATTTTTTATCCTTATCGCTTCTTCCAACGTTTTCATCTTTTCTAGTAAGGTTATCATCCTCCTTTTTAAATCCTCAATTTCATTGGTCTTAGCGGATAACTAAAGGACCAAGACCTAGTAAAACTCAAACTTTCTTATGTAGATTGTTGATGGTATTATGAAAACAATCACCACGACATACCACACCTCTTTATTAACAGAAAGCCCTTCGACCTTTGTCAAATACTTACATTATGTGTCATTCTTCATTGGAGTCATCAAGATAAACCGAATCACGACAAGGATGTCGACTACAAAATGTGTCTTCTTCTAAATATGTGTTGATCTTGGATGTGTTCCACATCGACTCACGACACCTTTATGCCATTTTCATTAGTGAGGAAATTTTTGTTATACCAACAAGGACGAAAGTTAACCACCTTCTCCTCTATTACCATATCAACGCCCATTATTTCAATATATAGATTGTCATTTGATTCTAATGATGCAAAAACTAAGAAGTTCTAAGATCAATTTCATGTCGAACAATGTTCATCTTATGGTTAAGGCCATAAGAGTTTCTAAGGGAAACTTATTATCTAGAGTTTGTACTAAATTAGTAGGTAGATTCATTATTATCTATAAATGTTTAGGAGTATATAATTTTAGACTAAAAGAGAAGTAATTTTTAGCTTACTTGATTTTGTCCCCTTTCTGTTTTCGCAATTTCACCAAACGTTATTGGGAACCCGACATACCACCAACACAAAAAAGAAAGAATTGGGTGAAAAATCTATTTAACAAACAAAGTTTATCTACCACGAAGTGACTAACCAAGGAGTTCATCGGCCTCCACACCAATGTGACACTAGACAATAGCATTTGAGTCGATATAACAGGGTTCTTCAAATGATGACACTTCTCATCCATTTGTATCTTTACCAATTTATCCATGTAGGTACAATGGGTGAAACTCTCCACTAAAGATTTCAAAGTATAGAGATCTTACCTCTTATGGGATGGTAACCTTATTTGGGTAAACTCAACGATCTTCTTAATTAAGTGTCTTTGCATTTTTACCATTATCAATCAACAGGAACTCATCATCTACAAGAAACCTTTTCGCCTTCATCAACGTCTTTCTCGACACTAATTTCCTCTAAACTACCATGTCATCACCTTATGGAGATATTTATCTTGATCCAAAAGAATATCCAAGCTACTTATCGTGAAAAGACTACATAAATCATGCAAAGAGTTTTTGGTAGTTCTTAAAGAATATACAATTATGTTGACCAATAGGATCCACTAGACTTAACAAGTTAAGAATGTGGATAGAGTTCTGAATGGATGAAAAAAATTTAGATCAGTATTCATCATCTCAAAGGCCCTTAAATACGATAACGAACTTTTATACAATTGAGAAAGTATAAATTTCATTTGCTTGGAGACCAATTTCTTGAATAATCTGAAGGAAATCAAAAAGCTCATTTCTTTAAAGACCTTCTTGTACACGAATACAAGAATAACATTTTACTTGACATAAATTTGTTGATTCACCAAGAAGATGATCATGTATATGTTTGATAAATTTTCATCCTCTACCTCATCAAACGAATCCCTAAGGTGAAAATCTATTGAGATTACATATATTGTTCCCTACATATCCTCACTAACCTAAGTGTGATTGTACTTTCTCAAGGGATGCTAGATTTTTATGGAGTTTTTCTTACCCACCCTACCTATAAATTTGGAAGAAGAAAATGAAGTTGACATATTATTAAATTCAATCTTCCATAATCATTCAAACAAAGTTGCGGTCAAAAATCAACAAAATAAGCACAAGCTACTATAGCAGAGTTACCTCAAACCAATGTAGAGGTGCCATGTCCAAACAACCACTCCATCAGTGAAAAATCTCTGTATTAACCAAACCCCATAAAATAACAACTAGAGACTAACCTATGATTCCCGATCATTCACTAGAACACAAGAGTGTTTGTAAAAATCACTCCGGTGACATCAAATCTAAGGTATCATCCATATAAGTCATCACCTCGTGAAGCTATTTTATCTAGATCTAGTTTGGTTGATCGCCTGTTTGAATCATTAGCATGCCAAGTATGGATCAAGCTAACTATATGCTTCAGGGTCATACCTTTTATCCTCAACTAAAAACTATCATTCCAATATACTAAAAAGTGTTATATTGCTTGAGAATCAAAGTTAATATTGTCACTATCCTACAATGATATTGTAGTGATTCGATTGACTATTTCACACATATTAAAAAAATGTATAAAAGTAAGAGATAGTGTTTTTACTATAGTACTCCCTTCATTTTAAAATGATTCTCGTTTTAATAAATAAAATTTGTTTCAAATTGACTGTCATTCTCACTTTTCAATAT